TTGTTGTCTTTGCAGTGTCTTTTTGAACAGTGCTGAACTGATTGACCGTTATATGTTGCCCGTCTCCCGATAGACAACATGTCTTATCCCTTTGTCTTAGATTCCTTTCCCTTTCCCGAAAAATGTCATTTGTGTGTCTTGCAAGAAGCAAGTACTGCTTACACTTCCCCTTTTCAGGACATAGCTTTGATTTTCTACTCTTTTCTTTTTTTCCCATGCATAATGGTTTTAAAATTTCATCTCTGACCATAACATAGGGAAAGTTTTATATTCAATTATACTACTAAAACCCCGCCGCATGTTATACGCGCCTGAAACATTTCCTGAACAAGTTGGTCATTGCAATCGGTAAGATTTTGTCACAATAGAATTTTTAGTTTACAATTTGATATTTTGACATTATGCTTCGCTCTAACATTTCTTTCCTTTTTATTAGAAACAATAAAGTAACGTTGTTTCTTTTTTTTTTTTTCCTTTTTTAGGGTTAGGGATGGGGGTCTTAACTAGTATTCAAAATGCAGTCCATGCGATACCTCTGGATGTCTGTTTTATATGTGCATTGTGTGATTTTTTTCCTACTGCGGAAGTCATAAAAATAGCAAGAGAACAAAAAAAACAAAAACTTACGATTTGAATCTGAATCTGAAACAGAAGAGACACCAAGGGCCTTTAAAAATTTTGGTATCTATTTTATTATGAACGTGTTGTACACCAGGTGATTCTCGCGAATGAGATTCATTTATGGGCGCTATTTTGCGGTATGTTTGTTTTGGTCGTACGACATTAGGGCGAGGCAATTCATCAGGTTCCTCCTCTCTCTCTGGTAAGCTACGGCATTTGGTTGCCGGGAAGCAGGTCAAGCGACATCACAATAAGCCGGATGATTTAAAGAGAAAGAGTCGAAATTTAAATTGCATTGTCGCTAAATATCGATTTCCTGTTGAACATACAATTGGTAAGCTAAAACTAAATAAAGTAATGAGTATAGTGAGTCATCCGAAGCCAAAATTAACGGACATTGTAAAAAGATGTACCGCCCTAGTCAACAGACATAAACATTGATTATTTAAACACCTACTACAAAAATACAGGTTTGTTTTCTTTTTTTTTCATTTTCCAACTCGGCGTCTAAAAGAAATGAAACATTGAATTCCTTCCTTTTCTTCATAGTCAATTCACAAAAAAAGTTAAATTTTGATAAGCAAATACTTAATAAAACAAAACAAAAGGTACGGTACACAAAAAACGTCATGTTGAATAGTTGTCTCATTGGCAATAAAAATAATCATATGCGATCAATAATATTTTTTAAAAATTTTATGTTTGAGACGACCCCCATATCTCACCTGTCGTAGTCGTTCTAAACTGTAGGTGTAGACAATTGTTGAAAAGGTCTATTACTCATGGTACTTGCGATCTTGGCATCGTAACCAATGAACAACTAAGAGAGTTGTTAGCCAAGGGACCAAAATATAGAATTCCCAAGTCCATCAACTGGAAAAAGAACTTCAGGTTACTGATGGATGCAGTTAAGAACTAAGCTAGAAAATGGGTAAAGCGCGAACCAGACGAACCAGAACTGGACACTTTGTCTGAATGGATCAAGGCTATTCGATCATGCATTTATAAAACTACGATGTACTATGAGCACATGGGTTTCTAACCCATTCTAGAACCCGGAGGTTTTTGATGCTTTATTCTCCTTGCATGAACAAATATGTCGTTGTTCCAGCAGACAAAGCCTCTAATGATATTGTCTTCGTATGTAAAAACCACTATTTGCAATGTCTCACAAAAGAGCTTGGAATGAACAGCACAACTGGTAATATAATTGGGTTATAATAATTTTTATTTTGTGAAGATCCACACTGATTTTAAACGACAATATATTTGTTGAGTTTGGAGGATTGATATTTCAACTGACAGTCGGTATTCCAATGGATACTAATTGTGCATCCCTTCTGGCTGACTTGATTTTATACTCGTATGAAGCAGAATTCATTCAGAACCTTCTAAAAGACATAAAGAAAAAGCACCTTGCAAAATTCTTTAATTTTACTTTCAGATATATTGATGATGTCCTATCACTGAATAACCCATATTTCAGTCCGTACTTGAATCTCATATATCCCAGTGAACTTAAAATTAAGGATACTACTGATACAAAAAAAAGACTGCTTCATACCTTGATCGTTTCCTCAATATTGACACAGATGGACGACACTAAAATATATGACATACGAGATGATTTCAACTTCCCAATAGTCAATTTCCCATTTATCAGCAGTAACATACCCTCTGCTCCGTCGTATGGTGTTTACATATCTCAATTGATACTTTATGCTCGTCCATGTTGACACTATACAGACTTCATATACAGGAGTGTGCTCCTTACGCAGAAACTGCTCCAACAGAGAAAGATTAAAAATGACACTCCTTAAATTTTAGGGACACCATCACGAATCGGTTGATCTATACGATGTGTCTGTGACTTAACTAACTAATGACATTTTTACCACGTCTTAGATTGTGGTTTAACATCTATGTCGTCTGTCTGCTAAGTACCAAACGTGACCTCTTACCGAATATGACTGTTTTGCCGAGTGTGAATTTGCATTGCTATACTACGTATCTCGGAATTTTAAACACCCAACATTCATGTATTTATTTATGATGTTTCTGTTATGGTTTCTGTTAGATAATGTGTTATGTCTTATCGTTGTAGTCCAAATAATTATAAAATACCCTTTCAATACCGTTATTATCATGATAATTGTTTGGACTAGTATTTTCCTCTTATAGTTTATGAGTTTCCTACGGTTTTAGTTTGTAACCCGAATTTGTTTTCTCTCAATCGATTTATGTCTTTTGAACAGCGGTATACTACTGTTGCCTTTATTTATCTATTGATATGTTTTTGTCTTCGCTGGGTTGCTGTCTCATTGAGGGAAATTCGTATATATCTGTATATCGCCAAAGGTTCAGCATATGTATTCTGGTTATTTTTGTCGCTAGGTTGCTGTCTCTTTGACGGTTAACTCACATTTTCTTTTGATGCACATATTTTTTTTCAAACATGAATTGCATGCAAGTGTTATTTCACGTATAGTAAAATGAAAAAGAGCAGAAAATAATATCAAAGAAATGAATAGAAAAAAAGAAAGAAATTATATTAATTTAAAAAATGACTTGTTTGGTCGCTCGTTATCGGTTAAAATATTTTTCTATTTTTATGTATGTAAACTATACATGTGTTTACTGTGTGTTTTTACTAAACAAACTATGGAATAAAAACGTTAGTCACATGTATGCTATTTCTTTTTAAAGTGAAGTATATCATCATATATATTTTTTAGTTTACAGATTACATTTTGGGACTATTGGTCAAAGTTGTATGGAGGGCTGCTCTGTCTATCTAAACAGCGAAAAAGAAAAGCACTGCTTTTCCAATGTGTATAACATCAATCCACGTCTAAGCAGTTAAGCACAAGAAAACAATGTTATCTCTTACCAGTTAAAAATAAGTAAATAAATAATAAAAACACGAGTTTATATCAAGAGATGCTCAGACTTTCAGCTTTTGTCTAATTTGGAAACTGTGTACCTCAAATGTGTTTACGTAAAAAAATGTCTTCACTAGGAACTCCAGAGCTGAAACCTGCAGACTTAATGTTAGCTGGGACGTTACTCTGTAAATAGTTTTGTCCATTTTGCACACAGCGTCTTTACAGACAAAAAGTTATACATTTTGTAAAGACTTGTTAAAAAGAAGGTCGACATTTACATATTGTTATCGACATACCGATCTTGTAACGCAGACCCACCTCATACTGCTTTTTCTGTGTAATCATTAATTTTCTTCTCGTCTTAATTTGTTTACTAAAAGAGTTAATTGACTTCCTAAATAAATTCTAGCATACAAATATCTAAATTTACTATTTCTTCAGGGTATACAAAAACATTATAATTTGATAAAGCTGCTTCATGTCCAGCGGCAGATATTACAGTCATTTCCAGATAAATATTTCTATGACAAGGGAAAATAGCAATAGTCAATTCGAAATTAAAATTCTTGTAAACAAATTGTTTTTTAACAAACAAAAAAGATCTATGTTGGAAACGTCTGAAATGAACAATAATTGATTTATTGATGTTTGGTGTTCAACGTCACTTATGGCGCTATTGGCTATTTGATGGCGGTCATTTTGTTTTGATGGAGGAAGCCAGAGTGTCCAGAGAGAACAATCAGTCCTTAGGCAAGAAAACTGGTAATCATAGTCAATAAGAACCGGAATCGAACGCATCTGCCACATGCAGGGATCGACCTCTGAAATAAGCAATGCAGCAATAACTCCACTAAGAAAAAAATCCTTTTTTTTTTCACTGTATACAGTTTTCGATCGATATATAGTTTTTTTTTCAATTATATAAATTGAAGATAACAAGAGTTGTTTAAAAGAATCGGAGAAAACAAACTGTACCATCAGTCAAGTGCATAGTTCGTTCTTTAAAAAACTATAACGTCACAAGATTTCGGTTATCATATAACAATTGTGTTGTGTAGATAAAATACTCGTAAGTGAGATTTATATGTTTAAATTGAGTTTTGCCTTGATTATCTGATAGTGATTTTTACAGCAGCACTGGAATCGGTATCATATATCAACATGTTTCAAAGTTACAAATTATATAATATAAAATGATTGATATATGTACGTCAATGATATCGTTCTGTAAAATTGCAGTTTATCACAAAATGTCGATGTATCATTTTTGGAGTTGATTTTTGGGCTTTGAGTTTACAGCGAATTTCAAATGTTTTAAATGTAAATGTTCTTCAATGATATCAGTGAAAAATCCTTTTATCCAAAAGCTTGCGAATCAACAAAAGCTGCTTTACACAGTTAGGAAAACAAGCATTCGTTTTAATAGTTTCCTATTTTTTAAATTCAGTGATACTTTTTAATGAGTAACTGAATCCGACTGCATTGATCTGTTACCTCTACAATCTGTTTCATCTTCAGCTTTCTTTTGTCGCAATCTTTTGAAAACACTTTTCATTTCGCGCCTAAATTTCGTGTCCAAAAATCCATATATGAAAGGATTGACAGCGTTGTTCAACAAAATTGAGAACACAAATGTATAATAGGCAAATCCTTCTGAAAATGTCATTTTACAGTTGAAGTCTTTTTGAATCCGAGTTGTCACAACAAGGCTGTAATGTGGAATAGCACTCAATAGGAAAGCTGCTGAAACAGCTAAAAGTGTGACAGTTGTTTTCTTAGTTTTTACGTTGACGCCGGTTTTTCCATGTTTATGTAGAAACCGTAAAATCTGTGCGTAGACGGCAAACAAAACAGGAACAACTAAGAAATTGAGAACGTACAGTAGAATATAATAAACACTTGGGTAAACAGTATTTTTGTAGTCGTCATCTGTCCAGCACCGAATTCCTTTCACCCCAGGAATCGCCGTATCAACTGTGTAAATCCCGTATAAAACCAAGCATGGCCATGACGTCAACAGTCCTAAAATGGTGGCAATAATACAACACACTTTTGTATTTCCGTACGAAAGTTGCCAGTTTAAAGGCCTACATACTTTTCTGTATCTATCGAAAGCTATCACTATTAAAATAAAGGCGGAACAGTTCGTTGTAAAGACCATGCTTAATCGACCGAATTTGCAGAGTACATACGATGGAAAGGTTAAGTAATGGCTCATGTAGTAAATCAGGAAAGGCATTCCGATACACGAGTTTGCAATATCCATGATGGCCAGCCATATTGTGTATGTCCTATAATTCGATACTCTGAATCTCTGAATGTAAATCCAAAGAACACCAAAGTTGCCGAATATCCCAATTATCATTAAAATTGTTGTAAAAATGATTCCTCCTATATGCCGCTCTGTGAACTGGTTGTTCAAATCTTCAAGTGTTGTAGAATTACCGACTTCAAGCCATGTAAAACACTGTTTTTCCGTTTTATTCATAATGGACATTTCTGTGGACTTTTTTCAAGAAGTGTTCTAATAGTTAGAAACTTATGTATTTACATTGTAACTGTTTATTGTTTAATTACTTCCCCCTTCCTTATTCGTTGTTATTCACCTCACTTAGGTTGAATTCAATAGACGCTTCGGAACAATAAACATATTCAATAAAATCATCAATTATAAAATACTTTATCTAGTGAAGAATATTCGTTTAAATAGATGTAATGTTATGTTTACTTCCCACTGCTGTCCCTTTTACATCCTCACGTCCTGTTAAGTTATCAATATCTTTGGCACTTCTGTGTTGACATGAATTATTGATTCATATGGTCATAATTATCAATTATCTGTTTACAAAACTTCGAAATTTTCGAAATTCTAAAGAGTTTCTAACCAAGAATAAATTACTTTAGCAGTATTTGGCAAAATCTTTCTGGATTTTGGTTTGTCAATGAATGTTCTTTAACTTCGTTCTTTATTTTACATTTTTTATTGCTTAATTCGAGCGTCACTGATGAGTCTTTTGTAGACGAAACGCGCGTCTGGCGTACAAAATTTTAAGCCTGGTAACTATATTGACTTAGTTTAGCATTCAAAAGAAAATGCATTTAAACAAGATATCGTACAGAATGAAGTTGAATATCAAGGGACAATCAAAAGCCAAATATAGCAGATTTACTTACACTTGCTTAAAGTAAAGTGGCAAATATGTCGGTCATATTTAGGATGAAAACCGATGAAACAATTAATACAACAATTAGTAATAAGGTTTGCGATGTGGATTGATATGGAAGAAGGACGGGTAATTTGGACGGTCGCTGAAAAGTGAAGGTGTTCTAGATACGGACATATTTTGCAGCGGCAAATATTTCGTGCTTACTCAGAACGGGAATCAATGACACAATTGATACAAGAATTATGTATAGGCTTTGCAATGTGGGTTGACATGGATGACAGAATGAAGGAAGTGAAATTCGAAAGATCGCTGGAAAATAAAGGGGTGTTCTACTGGATACTGATAGAGACTTTGGCTTCAGCTTTCACCAACGGACCCAATTGTTGCAAGGATTCTATAACGTGCAAAGAGCTTGTTACTCGACAAACACGAGGCCTCAAATTTAACATCCCTTTAGAGACCGAACATACATGTACCTACATTGTTTGTACATGAATTTATGCATTTCACACAATAAGTGAAGGTTTTATTTCAGACGGGAGACTTTATTGAATGTTTTACTTCAGACGGGAGAGGTCCAAAAATTACCATATTTCTGTACTTTAGTCAATCAGTCGGTATAAAAGTATCGCAGAAATACTGATAAATCATACGTAACTGAAAAAAGACGCTGAATTACACAACATAAATTAAGATTATCGATCATAAAATGTGAAAAATCTATTGTAATTTATTTATATCTTTGTCGTTTGCAAACAAGGTATATTTTCTTTTTTTTTCTTTCCTTATGGCAATATTAAAAATTATGATATGCTGAATTGGTTGATTGATGGTGGTGCTACGACACGACGAGAGTATTTATTTGGATAGCAGATTTAAATTATGACACGCGTTCCTACTGAAGGTACACCAAGTTATTAGCTTCGGACATTTAGTGCTATTTTCATTTACCAGCATTGCGTCGATATCCATTAGGGGCTCATGCCGATATGTTGTTATGTTTCTGTCATAGGGGTCTATGTTTAGCTGTGTCCCACGGTGATGGCCATCTTATTTTCAGATTTTTGTAGAAGTTCAAAATTTACATTATGTTATTTATTCAAATATTTGGTTACAATATTCAAGACTGTTTTAGAGAAGAAGCTATTTGTATGGATTTTCAAAATTATTTTATGCTAAACCGATGGTCCAAAGGGGTTACCATCTTTGTTTTTGGATAAGCCGGCACAAGCAATTGAAAATGTAGATGTAATTAAATTGGCACTGATCATGCTGTAATCAATAACCGGTGGGAAAATGCTTTATAATAAAATCATCCCTGTCTCGTATGTTTAAAATCGAAATTATCGCACAAATAAGGAAACAATTAGTGACGGCAGATCTTTGACCAATTAATGACCATTAAAATAACTGCTCTTTCTGGTTAAGGGACACTATTATTGTGTTCTATATATTTGTGAAGTTGCAACCACACAGCTTTTACAGTTTCCTCTATGAATATCTCCAAATTCGATATTTCATCGAATGTTCACCTTACGCGTGCTACTTTTGGAGCAAGAACTGAAATCAACCTCTAACATAAAAATGAGACACCATATTGTAAAATGATAGGTTCATTATTCTCCAAAAGATTTCCTTTGAATGTAAAAGTTTGAATTATATATAAAATTTATCGATAACTAAGTCTCTTTCCGTCTTTGTTCTTCAACTAAAAACGTGTTCTTTAGAAAAACATGAAAAGTCTCGTCTTGTATGTATATTTTTATTTTGTATTGTAATTTATCACACTATTTGGTTATTTTATAAGCTATACCATGTTTACTACAATGGTTATACGCTTCCCATTTAAAAACTAAAAAATAACAGAAATTTTCAAATTTGACTATGTTAATTTGTACATAAATTTTAAAAAATACATATAGAAGGCAAATAATATGATTGTTCGACTATATGCGGAAACATTGTTGATGATATTTAAAAACAAAATTGATTGTAACGTTTAAATGTCCCTTTAAAAGTAGCAATCGATTAAAAGAGTAGTTTGAATGTATAGCCTTTATTAGATTACATATATAACATTGATTTGAAATGTTGTTATGGGAATAATTTCCTCGCGTACCAACCCAAATTTTATTTTTCTATTTGCTGAATACGTCACTGGAGAAGGCTCAGTTAAATTCTCCGTTTATTTACACAACAAGTCAAAAGAGATCCAGAATCAAATTTCAACAAAATTGATTGATATGCAGCAACATATTAACACTTTTGATTTTAATCACTAGGCAAATTCACACGGACCTTATTCTAATGTACACATGTAATAGGAGTACATCGGGAAGACTGCGCACGAGTGAACAAAAACTGAGACGACCTTTCAAAAAAAGTAAAATCTTTTAACGGATAATCATTCTAACAAAACTATTATCCGTTACTTTTTTTACCCGAACAGGCATATCTTTTAAATCGTTATATTCAAACAAACACAATTAAGATATAATTTATATTGAATGTTCACGTAGTTTGAGACTGATTTTCTTAGTTAGAACATCAAAATAAGTGACAAATCAACAAATATCAATTTCAATGAGACGTTACGCGCGATGTTCGTACCTATAAGCGTAACAGACGTTATCGTTAAAATCGGACGTTTTTTATGGTTCAGGCGCTACAAAAATACTTCTAGAATAAGTAACGTTAATAACAATTGTACTATAATGATATGTATTCCCAATACAATAAATATGATCACTTATTGCAAATCATTTGACCTCTTTTAAAACGATTCATTTCAATCTAATTCTAATACAGATAAAACGAGAACTGTGATCACGATCACTACCCCCTTTCCCCCTCAAATTAAGATTATCTCAAGTAACAGTTGTCAGACTACATTATTATTGTTTATGCACATCTATGCACATAGTATACTACACTAATGTAAAGTTTCATTGAAATCCAATAAACGTTTTAGAATAAGTTGCGCTTACATAACAAGAATATATTTTACCCTATATTGTAGTATTTAACGAAGGGATCTATCTTCCTGCATGCACATCTTTAGCTAGTGTACTACAACTACATGACATTGTGTAAAGTTTCATTAATATTCGTCAAGTAATTTATAAGGATTACCGCTTACAAGGAAAATGGACAGACAGAAGGACAGGGTGATTCCTATATAGTCCAAACCTTTTTTGCTGGGGGATGTAACAATATGTTTTTATGGAAAAAAGAGGTTTTTAAACAATAACTTTATTGTACTCCTTCCATTTTATCCAATACTGATAAAATGTCAAGATGTGTAGTTTCCAGAAGACTAAAAGTTCCACGGGTCGAACATTGAAGAGTTGGTGAAATGTAAATAACAGATGCAATGGAAATGATGGAATGTTTCTTATCCAATAGTTTATACGACAAAAGTTGTTTTTGTTTGGTCAAAGTATAAACCACGAACAACTTGGGACCCCTTTACGTAAGTTACGCTCCAATTATCGGTGGTGTCCTTTTTAAGAGTTTCGGGACAAGCATTTGCTTAAAAAAGGTAATAATTTAAATCTGCTTCATCCGTATATACTGCCAGTATTGTGCCAAGCGTAATGAAGTCTTCCATTTCGTAATTGTCCGTGGATTCTGCGGGACCCGAATGGCGGTTTCGGTTGTTCTCGACAACTTTCGGTATGGTCGCCTTACTTCCAGTGGAATTATTTATGCAGTCTTTGTAAGTACCAACCAAATAGTTTTCACAAGAATAACATGACAGGTACCTAACTGTCAAAATAGCATCGTCCAAAGAAGAAAAAACCTGATGGAGACTTCTAATACCAGGAACAGGTTTAAAAGATATTGTGTCACGATCTATACTCTCGACAAATCTAAATATTCGGCGCTTACAATACAGTGACTTAGTGTCCTTCAAATGTTTCCCGCAATATTTAAAAAATCGGCCTCAGATTGTAATATTTCGTTCCCGATAAAAACAGCCATGTCTACTTGATTCTTTAAAAAGCCCCCGGCTGCGTCCTGAGGTCCCTTTGCGTGAGAAGTTTCGAATTAGTTTCGAATGAAAAGTTCATATTCGTGTTTGGAACAAATTTAGGTTAACATTCCAAAACAATTTCGTGACTTATACTGAACCGGACAACCGTCAGTAAACTCATGAAAAACTTTTACATCATATCGAATCGAATCTAAATACTCCTTGACAAGGGTTTGAACTTTTTGGGTAAAAAATTGGTCATGTTTCTCATCCGGGCTTATTACAAAGAAATGCTCAGTGATAATACATGGAATATCCGGCAAACTTTCTACTTCGTCTACCTCCAGAATTGCATGTCGATAAATTACGGACACATGGATAGATACCTCGGTGCGCTGAAAATAAGTTCGTTGAAGTTCAAACTTTTCTTTGCAACCGTGGT